CCTGGCCCAAAGCCCAGCCCACAAGTGGGTTGGGTTGGGTTGGGCTTGGGCTTTCGTGGGCTCTGATGAAGTCTAGGACCAGGTGCGCGTCGTACGTAATCGCTGCAAAGACCGTCATAATTAGCGCGCATGCGAAAGTACAACGCATCCCACGAAGACATGATCAGGGTGGCCCGTAGAAAGGGACGTGGTTAGCTATTAGAGTCCAGCGATTGCATTAGTACCGAGGGAATTCCAGGGCTGACTGTGTCCTTAACCCGGTCGAACCGGCTGAGGAAATGGAGAACATCGGGCCCCAAGGCGACCCTGCCATATGAGAGACGAGAGTCCTACTGGGGGACTTTTCCAGGATATGCACGCAGCACCCTAGACGGTGCAGAGCGATACCATGTAAGAGGCCGGAAAGGGAAGCTCTAACCTGTTCTGAGTTAGACTGTATCTGGGCCGAATTATTACTCCCCCTAGTTATATCGCCGGATTGTTGGCCTGTTCGCTCGTCTTATATTCCCGGAGAAAAGGGGGGCCAAGGTGTACGGATACTGACGATAATAACGTCCTTGTAGGCCGGTGTGGTTGTCTCCGAGGCCTTCCCTGGCGCCAACGATACTTCGACGGCGGATCAGCTGCACATCATACGAGAGAGAATTAACTCCATGTATAAAGCAGCGGGGACGAATCGCATTAGGAGAGTGAACAATACAGGCGCCGTGGTCGATAGTCGCTGCAGGGTTATTGGGGTCGAATCACTGCGTGTCGTGGATGCGTCCGCGTTTCCTTTCCTGCCACCAGGTCAGCCTTCAGTAACGGTTTTGTAAGGATTTCGCCCCAACCACACTTTATTTTACCCACGGACTGACATGGTTCTTAATGGGTCTAGGTGCCCTTGCGGAGAAAATTGGAAATGATATGATCGGCTGAATGAAAAACGTAATGTCTGGGGCCGTGCGATGACCAGGATCAATAAGATAACCAGACAAAGTGTTCAAAGTCATCTAGCGGCTGTCGATCCATGTACATTCCATATATTATTATCCTTAGTGTTTACTCAGGTTTGTCGATCTTTATTTCTAAGTACTCTACAGTAGCATCTAACGGGGTCGGCGGGGCTTTAAATCTGACTGCAGGCCTAGAGCCGACGGGAAGGATGTAACCGCGATGATCCCGTCGGGTATGGGTCGACGCCCCGGAGTAGACACCAAAATAGGCAATTGTTCAAGTGCGGCCAAGACGTTTCATTCTCAATTGCATGATTCTTCCCCCTTCCCCTAGGTACCCTACTTCTTTGCTGTCTAAAATCGTTGCTACTCTGTCACCGCCGCAATCTTCTGCACCAACATTTCCGGCTGGCCCAGCATTAGCGAGTGTCCCGCACTGCAGCGGTCGACATGCGCCTTAGCAGCTCCTGCAAACATTTCCTGGTATTGAGCCGGTGCCGCCTGGTCGTTGTCGCAAAAGAGATCGGTCGACGGGATATACTCGTAGGCGGTGCGAGTGATCAGGGTGGACTGCATGCGGTACGACTACGGGATTAACCGGGATTCCCACAGTTTGGCCTCCTCGTCGGGGAGCTCGTTGTACAGTATTTTAGCCCCGTTTTTGATCGTGAAGCGGCCGTCGGGCGAAAATGACTCGATAGCATAAAATGGAGGGCACGAATGGTCTAAGACCTGGGAAGAGGAGGGAAAGGCAGCTAATTACCGTAATATTATTGTTAGGTGACTCGCTGAAGGTGCCGAAGACAGACTGTCCAATGTCCAGGATGAAAGCAGCAAAGTAGAAGAGGTAGAGCACGCCGCCCTTTCGACCTTGAGCCTTCTTGACTGCGTAGCTAAGGCTCTGGGGGATGGCCTCGCTACCAACAAGGCCCCCATACGAATGTATGGTGACTACCACGGGCTTTTCTTGCCCTACTAGTCGCTCAGTGACTCTGGTTACGGCCAGTGTATCATCAGTCAAGGTGCGAGTGGGGAAATCCTTGTCGCCCACGTCAGAGCAGCTGGGTAAGCGGGGGTGGACGACGGTATATCCTGCGTCACGGGGTCCCGTCAGGAGGGAGTGATAGACTAACGGCATCTAGAAAGAGCCTTAGACAATAACGATGGTGGGAGTTTCGACTGCCATGATTCTGGGCCGCGAGTCCGATGGACCGTGGCAACTGGCGATTCCATGAAGAAGGGAGAAAGAAGGTAGCGCGACGACAGTCGGAAGTCCGCTGACTCCCCTCGGGTCTCGTGCTGGGCCATGTGCGTGACGGCCCTGGTACTTGATTTCTTTTCTGGTTCTTCCTGGACGATGTTCGATTGAGCGCGATATCCGCCAGACAAGAGACCAACTTTCGATTCTAGAACGAGCTAGTATTGGGAAGTGGTTTCTAGAAAGAGAAAAAGATTCCTGTATTGGGAGCGCGTCTCATGGACCGTAACTTACTATTTACATCACGATCTAAATGTATATAATGACGAATCTGATACCCTATGCTCCAAATAGATTTGCTTACTTAGACTTGATCTCCAAGGACTGCTCATTGAATAACAGATACGATTTTAATCAATACAACAGGCCACCTTCTTATTCTACTATACTGAGTATGAAATATATTACATCCATCGCTTCAGGAGGACCATTTCTGTCGTAAGGCCGGGTCCAAAACTGCACGAAATAACATCTTGTTTCCGCATCTCCATTAACCGTAATCTGTCCAAGACGGCGAGAACTGCGACGCTCGACGCGTTTCCCCGAGTTCGGTAGATCTCGTAGCTCGCTGTCAGCGCCTCATTAGGCAGTTGCATTGCCATCTGAGCACCTTTGATGATAGACAAGCCACCAGGATGAACGGCCCAGTCGAAATCCTTCGACGAAAGTTCCTTTTCATTAGCCTTGAGTAAGCTCTGGAACGGTGTTTGAAGAGAGGCAGCAGCGTACTTAGGAACCTGCTTCGATAGCGAGAGAAGGAACCCGTTAGACGTTACTTGATAGGACATGTGTTGATGTGTCTCGGGTGTGATACATGTACGCCAATCAATCACACTGAAGCGCCTAGGAGTTTTGTCACTCAAGCTATATGAGTTGCACAACACCATAGCCGCCGCACCGTCGCCGAAGAGGGCTGGCCCAATCCCGACAGTATCCGATTGGGATGCAGCATGTAGCTCGGCCCGGACCTGGATGCTGCAGACCTCACACGCAATGATCAAGACCCGGGCCTCTTGGTGCTGTAGAGTTGCTGCCCTTGCCAGATTGGAAGCTACTCGCAGTGCAGCTAGGCCTCCTGCGCAGCCAACCCCAGCCAGGAGAACTCGCTCTGCAGTGACAGGAATACCCAACTCCCGGGCCACGAGCTGATCATAGCCCGGGCTGCCAGCATTAGTCGCTGTAACTGCCACAACATGTGTAACAGAGCCTGGGGAGACATGGCTATCGCTCAAGGCATCTAGGGCGGCGCCCTTCGCAAGCTCAACCCCGTATTTGCGGAATGCAGCATCGACGTCTTCTGCCGTGGGGGGTTTATCTTGATGCCACTGCGGGTCATTCCAAAGATCAACCACAGCCCGAGTTTCTATGCCAGTTTGTTCGTTGATTCTCAGTAAACTTTGGAGCCTGGAATTTTATTAGCAATCACTTTCCCGCCTAACCCGCTAGAAAGGAACCAACCAGGGGGCATTTTCCAGGTAATGCTTCGAAACATATGCTTTCATATCATCCGGGCCAATAAGTTTGGATGGCCATTTGGTGGCAAGACCAGTAATCATCAAGCTATTTTCATCCTCCTGAACTGGAGGGGGAGGGTTTGATGTGTCCTTAGCTGGGTTGGAAAGGGTTGCACCCATGTTGGCTTTTCGATAATCAGAATAATAAACCGGCAGTGATTTTGGAATAACCAGTCAGTTCAAGTTCCACAAACCAGCATTTAAATATCCGGACATGGCTGGCCTCGGACAACCTTCAATATTGCGTATCTACTTCTACTGTTCTACATGCACGTTTGAGTGGCAGTGCCCAGAATGGCACAATTGGGGGCCAGAAAAGTGGCAGCCATACAGGGTGCTCACCAACATTTCTTCAATCTCTACCCCTGCTCAGCGCAAAGAGAGAGGAAGCTATTCAAAGGAAACGTACTTCGTATATATTGCTGATCAATTTCGGGTCTTTTAGGCTAGGCGACATTATTAGTTGATAGACCCCTACGCAGGTACCTCCTAATGTATGTGTCAGCCACCTGGATGCTGAACCCTGCACCTCGCCCCAGGTGGGGGCTAATTCCCATTGTTATTATCCAGGGTATCTAGTGTAAGTTAGTACGTGTATCTCTGAATTACATAACGAATATGCGTGTACAAGGCATGCGCTACCTCGGTTCGGCGTGCACAGGTGAGAAACTCGACATCGACCACAGTTATTGACACTTATAGCCTTTCTTCCCTCTCCACCCAACAGGAAAGCAGCTTTTTTTTTTTTTTCAGTTACTGCCTACTTGCCATATTTTCTCCTTATTATTGGAATAGACACCTCCTAGAAATGGATGCAGCCGAAGACCAGAAAAAGGCAGTCTTAGCCTTCCGCAAAGGGTGGAAGACAGCCCCCTGGGTGCCTATCTCAAAGATGCAGGCTTATTCCGCGCGCCCAAGGCCGGTAAAGGGGCCACTCTTGGTCAGTAATACAACAATCCCATGCCCTGCGTCCGAGGAGGGAGAAAATCTACGCTCCAAGCTCTGGCACCTCTATCAATCGAAGAGCGAGGGGGTTGAGAAGCTTGACCCCCCGGCGCCCTGCTCCGACTACAAGGCGGAATGGCTCGGGGTTCGAAACGATGTGATGGACAACAAAGCCCCTCGGCAAGACGGCACCAAACAGGAAAGATTCCGTAGAATTGAGCAGCACACGACAAATGACGTGACCCTTTTCTATATCCCAGGAGGAGCTTGGTTCCGTGCGGGTTCTCCAGGGTCCCGGCCTCTGATCCAGCAGCTCTGCGAGCACAGCGGCTCGCGCGCCTTTACATTTCAGTATCGTCTGGTGCCGCAGTACACCTTGCCCACCCTCGTGCTCGACACCTTAGTGGCTTATTTCTACTTAATCGCACCTCCGCCGGGATCATTCCACAAGCCTATCGACCCCAAGAAACTGGTGCTGGTGGGTGAATCTGGTGGTGCGGTTCTTCATCTACACCTACTTCAATTCCTCCAGTCCCTTCTGCGGGGGTCGGAAAAAGCAACTATCACGTTGAATGGCCGTAAGATTCTAATTGAGATGCCTCGAGGCTGCGCGTTTGTCGGCCCAGCGGCAGACTTTGCATTGGCTCTTCCCTCGGTGGGAAGATTCAAGCCCGTGGACTGGTTATCAGAAGGCGCGCCGTGGGTGCAGCCCGGCTTTCCAGCTGACCAGATCTGGCCGGCCAGCCCGCCTCGAGGCGACCTGCATTGTGACAATTCGGCCCTTTGCCATCCTCTGATCGACCCCTCTACATGGACTGATTGGGAGGGAATGCCGCCGATGTGGATTGCCTGTGGCGAGGAGACATTTAGTGACGGGGTCAAATTCCTGGTCAGGAACTTAACAACCTCGGGAGTTCCTGTCACTTTCCTGCAGTATGAGTTTATGCCCCATGTTTGGAATATCGTGATGCCGGTGCTACCTCAGAGTAAGCACTGCATGAAATTGTGGGGGGAGGCATGTCGGACGATCGGCACTGAAGCCCACCAACAAACGTCCACTGCCTGCTTGGTGAAGTTGGGCCGGTTGGAAATGGTTCCAAGACACATGGATTCTTTGCTGGATATCCCGAACGAGGAGGTCTTGAAACGGATGCGAGCGGCAAGAGATGAACTGGCCAAGTTTGTCTGGAAAGGTCCCGGGGGTGGGGAATCCAAACTGTGATTCAGTTTCACCTGCCATAGTATAGAGCCATTATAAAGATTCAATTGATACTTTACGTACTGTATTTTACTGTCCTATCACCAATTTGGCTGCTTGGCCTCGAAAACTAAAATCGATCCAACCACGTCCACTTTTACATCCTTAAAATTGTCCCGAAGACCTCGAATCAAAACGTCCACGCCATCATCCGTATTGCTGAGCCTTTTTTCCCAATTCAGAACGTTCAGCAGGATGAGACTGGCCCAGTTATGCCACGGACCGTGTCCGAGGATGGTAGCGCCGAAGACCACGCCGGAGGACTTAATTGCGGCCTTGGCTTTGGCAAAGACTTTCACTTTCTCTTCGGGGGGAACAGGAAGGGTGTGAAGGAGGAAGGTTAGCGAGATCGAATCGTATGCCGTGCACTCCGAGAAATGCGGAGGTGGAGGGATTGGTTCGTCAGATAAAATGTCGTGGTGATGCGGATGGATTTCCACAGCCGGGTGGGATCGATGGAGACGAGTCTGAGTTGTTGATAGAGGGCTGCTCTCCAGGTCAAGGAGGGTGAGGGTCGTTTTAGGGCTAGCAGGCTGGTGACGAATGAGGTAGTAGCCGGTGCCTTTTCGTCATGGATCGGAGATCAGATCCCTCCAGATATAGATATTTCGTACAGATCTTTATCAGATGGGTTCACGTACCACATCCTATATCACAGTGATCAATGCCAATATTGCGTTGGTGAAGCGGTACAAGTACTTCTTGGGTTGAGCAACGCCAGATATACGGGTTAGCAAAGCTCATCAGCCATGCATCATAGAAGTAGAGAACAATCGGTGGGTATTTTAGTCGGGTAAATGGCCACATGATAGGTGGGATTGGGTAGAGCAAATTTCAGTCTCTCAGAGGTATTTTGGTAGTATGCCTCCTAACAATTGACGGGGGGAAAGACGCCAAAATTAAGCTGGTCGCTGTCTTGGCCATCGGCCTTACCAGACCCGTGACTCCATTCCCCGCTCGAACATCTCGCCACTTTTCGGCCCCTAGGTAGCATTGAGGTAAGACAGTCAACCGGCGTATTCTAGTGGAGATTAATCCCATACGATCTGCCTAAGCCGCGCTGATTCCTAATTCCCTAATTCACTAAATATGCGGGCTCGTCGACTTCGAATAAGCACTAAACTAGTATGTCTATCACAGGGCAGAAGTTTATCTTCCCCTGTTCACTTCTGCTGATTTCTGACATTTATGTTACCGTGCCGAGCCATTGCCTGACCACCCTCTCTCCACTTTTCATCTTCCCACTGCGTTCAGCCTTGTTTACCACATCAGCGCCCCTTCACTCGACGTATCCATCCCGAGAATCTCCCTTAGTAAGCCATGTCGGACCCCAATATCCCTCTCGCCTGTCAGAACCTCCTCCACAGTTGGGCCACTTGCATCGATACAAAATCCTGGGCTCGTCTGCCGGCGATTTTCGCGTCCGTGATCGACATGGACTACTCGGCTCTCGGTCAACTCAAGGCTACCGCCGTTCAGCCGTCCGTCTATATTGGCCAAGTCTCCAGTCCAGACCAACTAGGAAACCCTGAGATCCAGTCGCACCACTTGGTCGGCGCGTGCAAATGGACGCAGGAGTCGGAATCCCGCACAAGCGTCGATTTTCAGATCATGACGGCGATTCGGAGAGCTCCACGAGACGGTACTGCTGCTGTGCTAGCTACCGGCCACGGGATTAACACGATGGACTTCGCCCAGGTTGATGGAGAGTGGAAGATCACAGCGCTGAAGGTCGGAGTTCTCTGGATCGAGGGGGATTTTGCGGCCATTTTTACGCCCAGCCTTTGATTTATTCTTTTTCTTGCTCTGTTGGAACGGGAAAGTGCTGTTGGTGGCAAGGCAGACGCTGCGATGTAAAAATTTCCATCCAGGTACATGACACTAAATCCTTCGCGTCACCATCTAAATGCTCCCTTCCCTGGCACCTACCCAGTCTAGTGTAGAGTGTAGTCTTCAACCACCTGTTTTCGAGTGTGTAGGATTTGTATCCCAGCCCGCTCTCTTTTAGGCCCCCAGTTGTACCCTTGCTGCTTTGCCGCACGGGCTGACATCTACTCCCTGGTACTTGTTGCGGGGGGCCAGAGAGGAGAGCTATTGTGATGGGGAGTTGTAGAAGCGCGATGCTTCTTCTTCTTCTTCTTCTTCTTCCTCTTACTATTGCTTAGAGGATTCTTAGCCAGACGCTTGCCCAACACAGTTTTATGTAAAGGGTGTAGGCCTCGCTAAAGACCGGAAAAGGGCCCGGACCGAACCTTTAAAAAGGTTCTAGGGACCGTTTAGTCGTCCGATCCCTAGATGACTCCGTAGGGACCGCGATTTTACAATCCGGATCTGCCCCAAATGGCGAGAGGGGTACATATGCAGGTCCCTCAACTGGACCAATAAATAATAATCCCGTGGCGGAGTTTTAAGAAGATCGTCAGTTAGTCGTTAGTCATACGTCGTAAGTCGAGCAGGTGGTGAGGTTCCTTAGTCTACTCCGTACTCCATTACAAGAAGATTTTCGAATAGGGAAATGATCTTCCTCTAATGATGAATCTGACTGTGCCTACATGATTTCTTCTACCGCATTCTGTAGTCCCACTGGTTCTCCGATCCATGGGTTGGTGAACTTCCTGTCTCATCCAGGACCTCAACTTTGGTCTGCTTCCTAATCTCCAGAGGCTCCGAGAGCAAGCCGCGCTCGTCCACCTCCTGCTTGCTTCGTAGTAATGCCCGCCGCCCACCAGATGCCATATCGTAGTATTCACTAGGGGGCTTCGGATTGATTCGCGACTGTATGAGTTGCCAAATTGGCCTTAGCGTCACGAGACAACCCACGATAACCCCGCCCTCCTGCTCGGTGAACGCCCAGGGGACCAGTTTGGCGTTGTCCCACGTGTAGTCCTCTGGGTTCCAGTCGATCGAGACGGTCTTCGCGATGGAAGCCCCAGCGATACTGTGTGTAAGAGAGATAGTTAGTTAGACAACCCCGACAAGCAGGTATGGGGGAGAAAGTTTTAGAGCATCACATACAAGAAACCAAGCGCGAGAATTGCGTAGAGGATGTATTTCCGCTTGGCAGGCATCTGGAGATTATAAATCATAAATATAGGGATCGCGGCAGTCATAAAATCTGTTACGACGCCGACGCCTATGATTGAACAGTTAGGAAATTGGCTCCCGATCAGGAGGGGGAACACAAAGCAGAGGCTGGCATACCGGAAGCAGCCTTCAGAAGGATGTTTACGGCGTTCGCGTCTAGACATTTAGCGTCGACAGACTGGTCCCAGTAGCCTTGTAGGGGGATGCATTGGACAAGGTCGACAATGATCACGGCGACTGTGAAGGGAACGAGGATGATCAGGTTGAGTATAACAAGTCGTTGAACCGTGCGATTCGCTTGATGCACCATGCGGAGTAAGAATATAGACAGAGATATTTTCAGCGTCACTGTAGTGAGTAGGTTGAGTGCCGTAGAGATCAGAGTTAGTTTGGCGAGCACAGGTAAATCGGCCGGGTCGACAGCATCCAGGTGCCTATTAGAACGGTATCAGCGATCATAAAGATTCCTATGGTCTGGAACCGACCTGAGCATACCTGCCAATTCCGTGCTGAATCTCGCCGTCAGCACCCTATCAATGAAGAGTATAATGCTATTGCGGACGAACAAACCTGGATAAGAGAATGCTCTAACACCCCAGTGGCGACTCCAAGTGCCTGTTATCGGTTGGTTAGATATACAAATGTCTTTGTCGGGATGGGTTATACCCACAAAGGAGAGCAGCATGGTCCTGGAAATGTGAGTCTTCCAACCCTAGGATTTAATCAGAGAATCAGAGAATCAGTAACTCACCAATCATCCCATCCAAAGGATCCCGGTCGCAGGCGTAACCGTACATAAAGACGGGCTGCCAGCAGGATACCAGCCACTGCAGTGAGTGTCCAGATAACAACGAGAAGGGTGGTCTGTCTAGATGTATATCCCATCGTGAATGTCAGGTTTACAGGACAGAAGGAGGATATTGCAAGAGAAAGTAGTAGACCTCTATACCCTTATAGGAGAGAATGGGCTTCTTAAGTATCACATTTGACTTAATTAAAATGAGAAATTATTTGCTTGGGGCCAAATGTAGATGCTGTACTTCTGCAAGAAAATACTCCGTTTAATTTTAATTTCTCAATCTGAGCATGTCCGTGCCACAACAAATGGCTCTGTTCATTCGTTGGGAGCTGACCCAACATAATTGTCACCAGCCATGTAAGAAGTTGCTAGAGGAATGGAACCTGCTTGCCAAGTAGGAAAGGGTTACCAGTCAAGAGAGCCTGGATCATGCATCTAATCTTAATCCCGGCTGGAAGAGGTTGACCTTGCCAGTAATGCTGACAACAAGGGTGAGATATGCTTTCCCCTCATGTCTGTATGCAAGGAAGGCTTTCCTTCCTTGCCTAGGCTTAGTGCCTGTTAGTGGGAGTGTTGAATATCACAGTGGCTGAACCATAAGGCAGGAATTGGGAACATGTATATATATATATATCAATCTAATAACCTGCGCTCCAAGTCCACCTGCTCACACAGACTTGATCTCATCTCTCCATGGACTGTTCACTGAATACCAGATACTACAACCATAATCAACACAACAGGCCACCTTCTTATTCTGCGTTACTGAGTATGCAATGAGTATTGTTATAGTTCTCCTTCTATCCTAGTATCCTTCTACCTGGTCGTTATCGGAGGTATCGTACCACACTATTTGTGGGTCCGGACGAGGATCCCCGAGGCCCCTTTTCAGCACGATATCTTTGACTAACTCATAGTATAAATCCCAGACGGTGATGCATACCCGAAGCCGCTCCGCGAAGGTGCCGGTCCACGAGGCCGGATCTTGATCGTAAAACTCGTTCGCGAGCTGTTCTAGACGTGGATATAGTTCTACCCATACGTTTGCAAATGCCCCTGCGGTGTCTCCATCATTCAGAGCAAGGATGGTGGAGTCCGGGATATACACCGCATTACCGTGAGTATAATCGCGGAAGACCAACATATCTTTGATTTCTATAGATTGGATGCGGTGCTTTCTCGTCTCTGGACCTAAGAGTAATAAGCTCTACAGTTGGTACAAGTCCCGAATAAATCAAGGGTCGTGTTAGACCGACACCCCCCCCCGTTACCCCGACACCCCCTACGTTATCCCGACACCCCCACGTGATGTACTAGTCCTATTCAGGCTTAGGCCCCGCGCGAATTTCATTTTTTGGCTGTATTATAGGGCTCAGGGCTCTTATTATAGGGTAAACTGTATATTCGCCACCAAGTGCGAATGTTGAATATTGTATGTTGCTATCGCTGTTACCGTCATTATTACTGCAGCACGTTACTGTATACAGTAATAATGGCTTCATTAAATGACTATTTGCAAGGCTACGAGAGCGACGATCCTCCCAACGAGCAATGGAATGAACAATTCGAAGAAGAGAGATTGAATGAGCAACTTCATGATCGTATTCCTCTTCCCCCTGGACTACAAACTCAACAATTCGATTCATATGATGAAGTTATTGAAATCCTCAATGCTTATGGACATAATTATGGCTATACAGTCAATAAAAAGCGTGTTAAAAGGTCAAATCTGGCTCCCATATAAAGAATGTATAGATTAAATGTGACCGAGGAAATCGATATGACTGTCATCTTGAAGAAGGCCAGCGAAAACGCAAAACTAGCACAATAAAGACGAACTGCCCATTTGAGATTATTACAAGGCTTCAAAATAATGATCTTTGGAGTGTTGAAATTAAAGAATACCGTCATAATCATAATCTATCGCCTGCTGCAACTCATGTTGCTATTTGCCGCCAGGAAATAGCTGAAAATCTGTACAGATTAAAGCTCAACTTCAAATTGGCCTTCTAATACGTTATATCATTGCTTCTCTGCAGCAAACTGGTGCTACTAGCATTATCGACAGAGATATTCATAATCTCTATCACCAGGTACGGCAGGAATTTCTAGATGGTAAAACGCCAATTCAGTGTTTACTACTTGCTCTTCCAGCAAGCGGAGATTGGATTGTCAACTACCAAAAAGATAAAAATGATATTGTTGAAGCTGTATTCATTACTTATAAAAGTTGCATTGAACTGCTACGTATGAATTATGGAGTCCTTTTTATGGATTCAACCTACAAAACGAATCGATACCAGATGCCTTTACTAGATATCGTTGGGATGACAGCAACAGGAGATACTTTCTACGCAGCGTTTGACTTTATGCACAACGAGACTGAAAATACGTATGGATTTATTCTTAAATGCCTATCTGATACATTATTTTATTATGAATGTGACTATCCCCGAGTAATCGTTACCGACAAGAAAAAAGGCCTTTATAACGCGATTTAGAAGGAATTCAACTTTACAGACCATATTCTCTGTATTTAGCATGTCCAGAAAGTTATTATGACTAAATGTCGCCCAATTCTTCGAAAGGAAGTTATACGGATTGAATATGAACGTGACAGTCGCCGTACCCAAGATGATAAAGAGTTTAACAGCAAAGTAGAAAACGAATAGAAGTCCTTTTTTGGCTTTTTTATGCAGATTGTTAACTCTACTTCAGAGGAAGAGATCATTGCCACAACTGCTAATCTCAAAGCAGAATATAGTGGCGACGTTTGGCAGCCAATCTATACTTATTTAGATGAGAACTGGCTTGAAGAGGATACGGCAAAACGATTCATTAAATTCTACACAAATAAATTCCGTCATTTTGGACAGGAAGTAATTTCACGGAATGAAGGCGCTCACTGAATACTAAAGAAGGACCTTTTGGTATCTACAAAGGACCTTTTAGGTACTGCACAATCTATCGCTTTTACTATTACTGATCGCTATCGCAAGGTGTAAAATCTTATTGAAGATAACCGTCAGAAATGCCCCCACCATCTACGGATGCCTATCTTCTCGCAAGTGTTGAATAAGGTCTCTTTAAAAGCACTGAATAAAGTACACACGATAATGATTCGCTATCTTCCAGTGGGGGGGGGCGGGTAAGCAACCAATTAAGGAATGCACAGGTGTGACGTTGAAGACTATAGGTCTACCGTGTATTCACATCATCAAGCGTTACTACGATAGGAAAAAGCCTATAAGGATTGCTGAGTTTGACTGCCAGTGACATCTTTATACGGATGAACATCTCCCACCTATTGACCCGAGATCGCTAGTTCTTGAGCCACGAGTTGTACAGCGTCATCGTGGGCGTCCTGCCGGATCAGGAAACCGAGCAACAAAAGCAGAGGCAGAGATAGAAACAATACAGAATACAGCTACTCAGGATTCTTCTATACAGCGAGAACTATCTGCGTTTGAATACGAATTATCTCAAGAACAACCAGTCAGACGCCGAAAGCGGAATAATCAGGGAAAACAAAGACGTAAAAGACGCGGAAAATGGGGCCTTAGGGATAGAAGAAACTCTACTGAAACGATTGAAGTTAGTAAAGATGATAGAAACAGCGATAACGAGAATGAGATATTAACCAGCGAAGAGAACGGGGGAACTAGCGAGGAAGAAGAAGTTGAGCTACTACGACGCAGTCAACGAGCTGGCCGTAGTAAGGCAGCGCAGTGGTTAGGGAACGAGAACTGACAGAATTCGAATTCTGAATAGAGGCCTGTGATTGTTTAATAAATGCAGCGTTTTTTGTACGATTAAAAGAATAATAAATGTCCTGTTCAAACAATTATACTAAGTGCCAAATTTCTATATCACATGGCCACGCTAAACGAAATAGGAAATGGGGGTGTTGGGATAACGTAGGGGGTGTCGGGGTAACGGGGGGGGGTGTCGGTCTAACACGACCCTAAATCAAACACGCTCGGTGCGTGACAGGTAAGGTTCATGTTTATTTATTACTGGGGTTTGTTCTATTTGATCGTTAGCGAAGCTGTCGAGGGTTTCCCCTTCTTCCTCTTCAGGGTGAATCAAACTTGACACTGGACGTGACAGACGTGATAAGTTTCAAAGTCCACTACAGATTGCTCGATAACGGCGACATTCCGAATTAGTTGGAGGGCCTCGCGGAAGGCCAGATGTGTAGCGCTAGGCGGTGGACCCCCCTGATCAGCCAGAAGCACCCGCGTATGTTTGCGACAGGGAATCGTCCGGGGGGCGACCTGTTGATAGATGGTGTAAGAATAATCGACCCATACTTGGCGATGGCGGCGACAGGTTGCCGCGAGGGAAGAGCACCGAAAATCGACAAAACCAACTCGGTTGGAAGACGAGCCAAAGGGAAGTCAGATGGCATGATCAAAAATCACTGCCCGGGTAGTACAGATAAGAATCAGGAGACGCGTTACGTTGAGGCATTTTAAGAGGTATGATGAGGGAACAGAGTTGCGACGTGGTGGGAGCTCTGTCATGCGCCGGAGCGATCTTAAATCCCAAAATTGGCTGGTCAGCACTGACCCTATAGGGTCTAAGGCGTTTCATGGTCAAACTGATCGCGAGGTTGAAACATGCATCTCGGATCAGGGATACATTGACATATTGCCCCCAGAGGGCTCCTGGGGCGGAGACCAGGGTCCCTGGCCCAAATGTCCAGTCCAATTAGTTTCAAATAACACCAAGTGCCAGCCAAGCATAGTTGTAATCAAATGCCCTCAGGGCAGTGCAACAAGTTGCGCAAGTTCAGGCATATTGGCTGACGGGAAACAACCACTCTGCTCCTTCCTGTCCCCTCCTTGTAGGCTCCCTGAGCAGGCAATTGTTTGTCTATCGCCCCCAAAATGCTTCATCTGTCAATCCTGAATCCGTCTGAGTGATCCTATGGCCTGCTCCTAGCATATATGAGATATTGTTAAACGTTCCTCCGAGCTTCTGCCGCAACTCCTGCCGTAGCGCAGAGGGCCTCTTTGCCTCAGTGAGAATTGTAGTGAAATCTACGGTTGGTCAGAGGAAGCTGGTACAGAATAGAGAGAACTAAGTGAACATTGACTGAGTGAGCGAGCTCGTGGACTTACTTAGAGAACAGAACGATGATAGATACACGTGTACAACTCATATAGCCCCTCACTAGTGGAATATCACTTATTCCAATACCGAGCGCTTAACTACCTATATTCGTAACAAGAATGTTGTCATGCTTATAATAAACTCATGCATTCACAATGTGGACACGCTGCGAGAAACGGGACGGCAGCAGGGGTGTAACGAATACGAATATTCGACATCGTCAAAACCGTCGAATATTCGTATTCGATCAAGATAAGGGTGTCGAATATCGTATTCGAGATGTATTCGACCTGAATAGGGGCGTCGAATATCGTATTCGTCAAATAATCGAATATTCGACGAATATTCGGTCGAATATCTTAATATCCTAAATAGGCTAGTGTATCTCCTAAACAAGTTAGTATATTAAAATTTTCATTCCTGTTAGGATATCGAAAACTTTATATTCATGATTATAGGATAGATTTATCACTTTATCACTTTATCACTTTATCAAACCTTTATGAAAAATTGTGAGAATGCAAACTAGAGATATTGGAATTGATTTCTTTGCTTTAAATGATAGTTTAGATCCTACTTCTGAAGCAAGTCAGGCAACTGATTATTCTCAATTATTTAATGATACAATTGATCCTCTATTGAGTATAGAAAATCTCTCAAATCAACTTTATGCTCAGTCTCAGGAACTTCAGTTATTACCTTTACCTAAATCGGTTACTATTTCAGTAGCTGAATTTATTATTTCAAACTCTTCTTTTTCTGTAATACTCTATTCTTCCGTCTGTTCTCTATCAAACCGATCGCAATCAATTATACCGAATACAATCAACAATCAGGGACAGAAAGGCTGGTTTTGGTAATATTTCAATCAATATAGAGTTGACAGAGATTGGCTGAAAAATAGCAAGAAAAGAATGATAAGAGATCTTGATATATGCTGTTCATTGAACAATCCTTTAACAAACCAAAAATGTCTTTGGAAAACCTCTAATTCAAAACGCTATAGCTCTACAACCAATATAGTACAGTATCTTGAGAAGAAACATGATCTTTATCCTCTATATCGCGAATCACGTCAAAAATAACCCATAATACGATCACTCTTGAAGCAGAAACCACTTGAGACAAAATCTATACAAGAGCAAATCGAGTCAAATATATTTCGCTAGATTGTTATAGAAAAACTACCCTTTACAGCTCATGAATCTGAAGCTTTTTAATCAATTTTTGTTAATATTCCTGGATTTACCTTTCCATCATTTTCTCGACAAGTTTTAAAGGGTCGATTAAGCAGAGAATTTAATCTGTAATGTAATCAATTGAAAGAAGATTTGAAGATTTTATACAAAACACTTGCTTTATCAATTGATCTCTGGACCAGCAAAAATAATATCCCAATTTTAGGCATAATTGGTCATTGGCTTACTGAGTCTTTTGAATATAGAGAAAGAGTTCTTGAATTTAAAGACTTGCTTATTCTATATAGTGGAGAGAATCTCACTTTCGCAATTGAAGATTCTCTTATTGAGTTTAACATTGAATGCAAGATAATTACAATTACTGGTAATAATGCCAGTAATAACAAGAAAATGAGCTTGCTGTTATCTCAGCGCTTGAAAGAAAAGCATAAAGATAATGTCTTATTTCGTGATCTAGATCATTTTATTCGATATCTCGCTCATATTTTGAATCTGATTGTTAAGGATATTCTTTGCTGCTTAAAGATTGGGACTATCCAAGAGGCTGATACAATTTGCAATAATTTCCGGGAAAAAGAGATTGAGATGTAAGAACCGTTAGCAAAGCTTCGTATTCTAGCTCTTTGGATACAGTAGAGTCCTTTACAACGTTATACATGGCAAAAAACATGCGAGACATTCAATAAATTATCTAAAATGATTCAATATAATATTGATACGCGCTAAAATTTTACCTTTCGTATATTAAATGATGCCAGACAAGCAAGATTTTAGATTGATCGATTTACTGCAATATCTAATAATTTTCCTTGTTTTACGCACAAGAATTGGGCACGACTTGATCAGCTTTATTGTCTTCTTGAACCTTTCAATCAGTTTACCCTTTTAGTCTCTGAACAGAGGCCTGGTAATTGGCCGAGCGGCCAGCTCCCGCGGCCCTGCTGAGCTTAATTCAATCCCCTTTATCGCGGCCCGCTTGGCCGCCTCATCAGCTCGTTCATTCCCTTCAATACCGATATGCGCAGGGATCCAGCGCAGCTCTATATCTTCCTGCTGCAGGCCGCTGTCTCTCAGGGTCCTGATCCTCTCGTAGATAGCCCGTAGTACGTACTGGCCTGATGGTCGGCCAGGGTTCTGCACGGCTTGAATGGCCGCTTGGCTGTCTGAAAAGACCGTGATCGGGGCAGCCTCTGCCCACTTCAGGGCCATTTTGACCCCCTCTAGCTCTCCCACGTACACAGTGGAGTCAGCCGCGGCTCCTAGGTATTTCTTGCGGACCTTCCCGGCCCGAATCGAGACTGCAGCGCCCCCTACGTGGCCGTTAAAGCTGCTGCCGTCAGAGTACCAGATCTGCCTCCGGCTTTCCTGACAGATCCTGTCGTGTTCCTGGACTGCGCTATCCGCTCCCTCGATCACGTAGTTCAGTGGGAGTTCCCACGGGGCGAGCACGTGTGCCTTTCGGGACTCCTACGTAGCCAAACTTCGGCCTCTGGTCCATAGGGGGCCCCCTTTCCTCTACCTCAGCGCCTCCATGGGGGACCACCCTGACCGTTTTATCTCCGCCGAGCTCCTCTTCTTGACTAATCCCCGGGGACAGGCCATAACCGGTACGGTCTGTATCCGGATTGCGGTCTCCTCAATCATCTGTTGCATGTGCAGGCGGACCGGAGGCAGGAATATCTCTGCCCCTAGAGCTGCAGAAGCAGTATTTCTGAATGCTCCGCTAATAAGTACTGCCGCCCGCGTCTGGATTCGTTCGAATTCGCTGATAGTCTTCTGCCGTTTTGCATACTTAGTACGCCCGCTGGTAGGGCTATACCATGCAGCAACCCCGTAGAGCATCTGCAGAACTACTGCAGCCAGATATATGGTCCGCATGTTCAGCAGGGACGTGCCCCATGTGGACGCAGAGATGCTCCGTAGGGCTTCGAGGCTCCCGTTCGCCTTCGCTACCGCCTTAGCGCAGTGGGTAATAAAGGAGAGAGTCTTATCGAGCCAGATTCCGAGGTATTTAGCGTGTTCCACTGGCCGAATGACGTGGCCCGTTGCGTGATCCTTTATTGGCAGCTGGTCGTGCCCCGGGGGTTCAACGGGAACCTCCCAGGCGCTCCCGTCCTCCCAGTTAGCGCTGGTAAGGTCCTGTCCATTCCATGGTTCCGTGTAATCACAGGGGGTGTCCCTCTCGGCCCCGGGATCGGGGTCCAGCGGGTTCTGGAAGTGTATCAGTTCGAACTTATCCGGCGCGAACCTAGACGAATGCTGCCAGGACCATACAGCAGCCTTATCGAGTGCCCACTCCAGTAGACGCTGATTAGCTGCGTAGGACCCGGAGAGAGCGATCGTACAGGCATCGTCAATCCAGCCGAATGCCAGGGTTCTGCCCGAGATCGGTGGCTGGATGCGCATACTCTCAACGGTATTGATTGTTAGGGCCCGAATAAGGGGCGTATTGAAGAGAAGGAAAAGGATCGGGGAGATAGGGGACCCCTGGGGGATTCCCGTGGGGGTAGAAATGATACGGCTCAGGTAGCTAGGTAGTTGGAGCCGGGTCTGTCGGTCTGAAAGGAATGACTCCAGCCACCCGGCGAAGTGCCCTAGTCGTGCTATCTTCAGGTTGTGCAGCAGCCGGGTATGGGAGACGTTGTCGAAGGCCCCTGCTACGTCTAACAGGAGCATACTTACCTTCTGGCCTCGGCCCCAGCCATCAAAGATAGCATCCATCAGTAGTTGAATCAGGTGGTCGACGGAGATGCCCTTGCGTCCCCCTAAGTGCCCTCGTGGCAGTAGGCTATGTTCCTCCAGTGCGTAGGCTAGACTTGGTCATTGCCATAAGCAGATATCCTATCAATTCAACGGAATGTAGGTGTATGCTCAGTAGGTAAAAGTGAAGTTCAAACCTCATTCTCGCGCTGAAATCGCTCTAGGCCCTCCTGAATAGCTGATCCCTCTGTAATAGCTAGCTGTCTAGTAGAGCGTTTCCTTTTTTGAAGCTTCTTTTCATGAGAAGCGCGTAATTCGTGGATTTCTTCGCGTGCAAGAATAAGCTCATTAAGATGCGATGTAATTCATGACTTTAATAAGCTTATCTATACGCGTCTCTACCGAAGATGAAAGGCTCTGCATACGCGTTTTAAGCAGCTTCTTTGCTGTAGATGCCTGCTTCTCCAGCTGCCTAGTATTGTAGGGTATTTTTGGGGCTGAATTGGTTGACCGGCTGCCTGGTGGTGTAGGGGCCTTTAGTTCAATATTCAGCTGATTGAGCACCCTATCTGGATCAAATGGAATAAGGCCAGCGCCTGCGAAGCTATTCTGAATAGTATATGCTTGAAAAGCGCGTTCACGAACTTGTGGAAAGGCCTCTAGGGAATCAAGTTTATCAATACTATTGATTCCTAAGCGTGCTTTCTGCTCCACTAAGCTCCCGCACGCCTTTTTTAAAGGCGCAAAGCAGCCCACGTCCAAAGGTTGAAACTTGTGGGAAGATTGAGTTCGCATACAGATAGGAATAATATTATTCTCACTGCATATTTTGTCAAACTGAGGCGTAAGATGGCTGCCATGGCCGTCGAGAATAAGAAGCCGATATATTCCAGTTGTACGACTAGTAGTAGCAGGAATAAAGAAATTTTTAAGCCAGCAAAGGCTTATCTCATCGGTAGTCCATCCATTAGGACTAAATTAAATCCTGCTATCGCGTGGGAGCTTAATATCTTGATACCAACCCTCTATATGGACCTTCCCTTTAAAGATCACACATGGAGGAAGCGCCCAACCAGTAGAGTTGATACCCTCAATTGAATTAACCCATTCACGATTACCTGGCTGTACAAGAGAGGCCTTTCCATAGTAGTCAGCTCTAGTAACTACTCGTGCAGTAGCTACTAGGCCCATAGCGAAGCCAGTTTCGTCAAAATTGTAGATATCTTCCTGCGCGATCCCGTGTTGCATTATAGTAATTTGTACGCAGTTAAGTCACTCTTGTATAATCTTAGGGTCTTCGCATTTAGCACGTCGATAATCATAGCGTCGAGTATAACGAGTTTTCAAGCGATCTTGTCGTTTAATAAAGTTGGTGACCCAGTTCTCTCTGACTGATTGAACTGGGGTAGTACCGCGTTGAGCAAGTAGAATATTGACCATTAGTGTACTGTGTTAGATGAATTTCCAGTGACAAAGATAGCTTCATGTGATTAACACTATATACTTGTAAAACCATGTCTAGACTTGCACTTTATTGGAAGATCTATCTTTAAGCAAGATCACGAAAAACCTTTCGCTTTACTTAACATCATGGCTTGAAAGGTCAGGGGACTACTCGTATGATAGTTAACTATATTTTAATTCGATTAGTCAAAGAAGCGCCAAAGCTCCAACTTAAGAATACTGGCTAATGAGGGTAGTATTCTAGACCCAAATTTGCAACATATGTTAATTAGGAATGATTTCTATTACTATGCATGCGAATTAGTCCCCTTTTCTGAGTGAGGGCCAAAAGCTTTCCATATTACATACTTAAGCCCCAAGAAGTTAACCGGTCTATGTCTTTCGTTGATGCCTTCCTAGTCAGTCAATCTAATACGATTTACAGATAATCTAGTTAAACAAAGCCGCAATCTCTTTCTCATATAGTGCCAACGTCTGCAGCCTCGCTGTGCTCCCCTTGACTGTGGAAATAAACGGCTTATCCGCCTTGGCAAAGATCAACCGTTGCGAAGACAGCTTCACGCAGTCATGGCACTGCGAATTGACCTTCTCGATATACGGCTGCAGACTCTCCACCAGAGCCGGGCCTTCCTCTGCGCCGGGAACCAACTCGACTAGAAGAACAGGCGCTGGGCGGCTATGCCCACCAATGATGGCCGTCTTGACCCTGGGATGGGCAATGATTTCCGGCTCCAGAAGCGAAGCGTGAAGTCCGTCACCGTGGGCTAGGTAAACATAGTCATCATCACGGCCGATGATGGTCCAGAGACCCTTGTACTTCGGGTGCTCCGTCCACAGGTCCTTAGTTTCAAACGTGTCGCGGTCCGGATAGACGCTGAAGATTTGCTGCATGGCGCATTCGGGACGACGCACGAAGACGAGCTCGTGGAGAGCATCCATACGGTGGCGGAATTCAGCGCCGGAGTGTTTCTGGAACGAGAGGTAATCCCATGCATCCTTTTTGTCGTGGATGGTGGTGAAGTAGCCGCCCGCTTCGGTGCTGCCGACGCACGGGACCACTTGCGTATGAGGTGCTAAGAGATCGCCCGATTTGCTGGAGAGCGGAGCCCCAGCGTAGTGGATGAATTTGAGTTCGCAGAGCGATTCGCGACCTTCAGGTAGCAGGCAGAGTGCGTCAATGAGGGAGGGCATAAGAAGAGCGCCGTCGATCTTGCCGTGGCGGAAGGTTTGGATAAGAAGATCAGGAGTTGGAGGTGATGGAGGGCCGATGACAGATGTCATATGCATGAAGCTGGTCATGGCGAGGCTCATCAGCATGCCTACGAACTGTTTTTCTTTTGTCAATGTACACACTCCCTGACCAATGAACCAAGGTCAAGGAAACAAAACTCACATGTAGCGACGGTAAAGGCGTATACCATCTCCGCCGAGCATATTGATGGATATGAGTTTGTTCGATATCAGGCAACGACGCCGCGGTATCGACACCAGCCATCATCCGATGCGTGTAGGTTATTGGCTTTGGGTTTCCTGGCCGCAGTCAGCTAGATAGTCCTCAAAATCATATACCAAGCGCAAGATTTACAAACCCGTCGTGCCCGAAGTATGAAAGACCAACCAAGGATCATCCTTCCCCTCCTCCCACGTCTTCTCATAAACCACCGGCTCAGCCTCGCCGTCTTTCAGTAACTCCTCGGAGCCAGGAGCTGTGATTGTCTGCACATCTGACACTCCCTTCAGGACCGCATCCACAGGTACGGCCATCTCCGCGGGCCTCAGGTACAGTTTGCAGTTCTTCTTCTCTAGAATTCTTAGCTGCGCATCCGCCGTGATCAATGGAGACGGCAAAACCATCTATAACATATCAGTCTATCCGAACTATATTTCCGCAAGCAAGGGGCGAGACGGAGGGAAGACCTACCACTTTCTGCACCTTTGCTGCCGCAACGGCTAGAACAGCATATCGCAGGTCCTTAGGCCCAGCGTACGCGAAGGGTTGAAATGGTTCGGTTGTAGCTGGCAGAGCTCGATTGAGCCAGCGAGCGGCGTGATTTGCAGCGTTGTTCAACTGCCAGAAGCTGACGTCTCGGAACCCGGCGGAGAGGTCCTTGTCGTTAACAGGCAGCGAGATCCAGGACTCAGTGCGAGGGCCCTCTTGGGCTCGAGCCTCGATAACGCTGGCGAGGATGCGTTTACCATGGGTGACGCCGGGAAGAGGGAAGGTGGTGGAGGCCATTGCGTCGATGAAAAGAGATTACAATTTGTTGTGGGAAAGAACAAAAATAAAAGGGTGGGAAGTGACAAGAGGGAAAGGAGGGGAATGAGACAAAGAGAACGGGGCGAAAACGAGTGGAAGGCGAAAAGAGTGGAAGTGGAGGGGGAGGTTTCCTTGTCTTTATACTTGGTCGTGGTTGGCAGATGTTAACTTAGTGCGAAGACAGCCCACTCGCCGGGAATTAGAGCAAACTGAAATTGGATTATCTCCGAGGGCAGCCCGTAAAATCACAGAGATATAGCGTCTCTCGGATTGACCCTCTCACCAGACTGCCTATCTTATGTTATGTGAGCTGATATTTACAAGAATAAAATACTACGATGTTCAAGTATCTACCCATTAAGTGCACGACGCAGGATTCTTCCTCCACCCTCCGAATTACAGACTAACCTTCCTGCAAACCGGCCCGATTCAAATCTTTATCAAACGACCTAAGCGGGATATGTCCTTGTTTCGGGTAGTACTTCAGCTTATATCCTTTGTCCGCCTCTTGTGAGTTTCCCGATATCCCCTCGGTGCCGTTGCTCGCATTCGTCGTCTTGAACTGCTTGAACCACCCGGAGAGTTCGCGCAACAGTGGCCGCAGGCGCATCGTGCACGCAGCAGACATGTACATGCCGCTTTCGACGATAGTCCAGCTCATTAATTCCACATCGGCCCCTACCGTTGTATCACATCAGCCTACGTGGGGGATCAGAAAGGGAGTATAGCAGACATACAGGTAGGATCAATTGCCGACGTCTCGTGCGAGGTGAAAAACGAAGCGGTGCGGAAACAAGATGCAATTATGCCGATGCTTCCTGACAGAAAGACGAAGGCAATCCCGACTTTCTTGGCCACCGATGCATGTAGATTCCAGACCATATGCGCAGGGAGAAGCACGATGGCCACGTCTCCGACAATGTTCAAGATGCCACTCATCTTGAAGAAGAGAAAGAGGTCGATGCATGTGCCTTCGAGCTTCGGGTGCCAGAGTTTGGCTATCGGTCGGCATTCCATAGATCCTGTGATCGTTTGCGAGATTACAAATAGGACCATGTAGACCATCAGAAGAACGGTACATGTGCGAGTGACACCCGGGGTGAAGATGTTGAAGAGGAGGATGAGGACGGAGACTCGCGAGAAGCAGTTTGAGTAGGCTGTCAGCCAGCTGAGGGAGTAGATGAGTTTCGATCGTACAACGACCATGTTTGGGTCTTCGAGCAGGATGGCTTCGACATGGCGACCGGCACCCCCTTTAGTGACGGCGACTGGAGGTTGGTGAACATGCTGTTAATTATCACATCAAACGCAGGCAAGAAAACAGGGGAAAGCAAAGCAAACTCACGAAGAGCAGTGATACATGCTCCCACCGAGAGAAGGTACGCCGGTAGAAGCAGGAGATCCTCCAGCCCCGACTTGACACTCGGTAGGCTGCGAACATACAGGCGTAGAGCTAGCAGAATGGTGGTAACGACCAAGATGACCGACGCCGCGACAATTAGTTGCTCAGAAATATCCGCCTCCAGATATTCAACCGACACATGCTCCTTCAACATCTCGTCAAAGCCCTAGATTTTCCCGTGACCGCAGACCCGGAAACAGCGGACATCAGATGGATAATGACCCAATGTAAAGATAAAAGATGGCAGAATCATCCACTTATTGAGCATAACCTGACGAAATTCAATATAAGAAAAGAAAGAAATTCCTCGGGTATGGGCTTCTTCAACCTAGACGGGGGAAAGGAACGTCATGACAAGGTAAGGCAGTCAGCGGAGTTTGCCACTGACCCGCCCATGCCGTTCAGGTATCCCTGCTCATGTATTTCACCAGAATTCGGGGGCTGGGGGCGTTGCGTCTCTACAAGTTCCAGAACGCCGTCATACCCTGCTATACACGTATGTGCCCCAACGTACAGGGATAGTTGGTCTCTTTATGTATCTGCAGTGCAAGAAATCGCCTGTCTCGAGGGGCTGAGACACAAACCACGTACGGGCAATCACCTCATTCGCCATGCAGATGCGAGGGGCCATTAGATATTCATTTTATGTAACGCAGGTCCACCTGCGTAATGACTGTTGATTGAAATGATGAATATGGACGACTAGTACTAACCCAACCCCCCCCCCCCCCCCCTCCGTGCTCTATTCGATGGATTTGATGTTTCTAGATCGCCCGAGGTTCCCCACTGTTATGGTCTTTCTCTTCTGCGCGCCATATTGGGGGCCAAAACCCCTGCAGAGATGTGGACACTCCCTTCGCTTGATGAAGGTATGTAGTTAGTTATGCCCGTTCAATTTGTCATGTCCCTGCAAGGTCTGCTTAGGGTATGTTCTCCGTACGCCTCCCTATTGATAACTTACGTGAATTATCACTACATGGACGGAGATCATGAATGCTGCCCATTGCCGCGAATATTATCAAAACATAACTAACATGTATTTCGAGTGGGCGTGTTGCATTAATCATGTCATGTCAAACAATAGCGTACCAAGCTCCCAACATTTTCGGCTTCTATCCAATCTCTATCTACTCCCAACGCCCCGTCCGGGACCATCTGCCTGGATGATAGACTTCGCCGGACAGATAGGAGGTCAAGCTGAGTTTGCTTTTTTTAAACGCACATGCAATGTATGTCTGGACTCCACAGCCTTGTTCGAGCGTTCGAAACGATGTGTACTCTTGCAGAGCCTGGAGAAAGCGATCATCGGACTGCGCATGGCCGCGTCGGCGCCGTAGAAATTCCACTAAGCCTACCGCGATAGCATGATCGCTTTGCCCGTAGTGTCGCACGGGAATGTACACCTTCGTTTCAGGTTCCCGGTTCCCCATTTTAATGTCGAAGTTGAAAAGCATGCCGGATGTCTCATGGGTCTTCAACGGGAGTTCTTGATCGTGCGAGAAATCCGACGGGAGATCGAAGACGAGCGACCACAGCTCTTCCAGTTGCTGCAGGGCAGGGGCGTCCCATGAGGAAATCGTTCCATTAGCTGTCAGCGTATCCTTGACGCTCGTGAACGTCGTCGTGGGACTGCGGAAATAGATTTTCACCTTCGACACGGACGGCTCAACGCAGTCCACTGCCACGCCAATAATGTGGGCCGGGGTGCCCGCTTCTTCGCGACGTCGGAGCAGACGCTCCAAGGGGGCATAGGCCGGCAGCTCGGGATACTGAGGGAGTGACTGCACGGCTTCGTGGAGGACGGCGAATCGTGATCTGCCTGTCTGGTCGGCCTTGACAGGCACGAGGTACGTCTTACACATCATTCGGCCGTCGCGGGCCAGGTCAAAGCCAATAAAGATGGAGGAAGTGCTAGATGCAACCCGACTCGCAGAAGCACCCGGACTGCCAGGAATTGGATCCTGGTAGAAGGCGTCGGCGAAGTGGGTAAACCAACGCCAATCGGCGGCTGGGAGACGACGGCGGAGGTGATCGACATACGCCATCGGGGCCTGATGGTTGTATGGATCCCGGCCCGTACCGGCTCGAGGGCCGATGGGCTCGAAACTGTACCGGACGATTGGCGGTTCCTCGTCCCAGTTCCAGCTGTATTCCAAGGGCGAGTGGTCATCGGTCATGAAGCTTTTCCACTGCGGCGGCTGTCCAGGGGCCGTCGGACGTGTCCCTAAGAATGGAGCCACACTGTGAGACACGAAGTCCAGGTTTTCTTGTAGCGGGATTGCGTCGTAGCCGGCCCTTCCCATGAGGGTCTTCAATGCAGCGCTTACTGCATGGTTCCAAAATTGTCCGTTGCTTTCAGACTCGTCGGCATTGGAAACCGGGTCCCTCTCCTCCTGGGCCGCAATAGCGAGGGTAGAGGTCTGATTGTTCTGGCCTATAGTTAACAGGAGCCCTTTGTGTTTTTGAGGGATGGACAAACGTACTGAAATTGTGTAAGTGCTCAGACGGCGGCGTAGGTAAAACCAGCATGTTGAGCCACATGCGATCAGTCGCCGGCCCTCGAAATAAGGTGCCATAGTTGACCAAGAATCCCAACAAAAGAGCACTATCGAGTGGTGGTGCTATGAGAGGATCGTTCCAGAAATATAAATAGAGGGGACCAAGACCTAGCTGTGTCGTATATCAAATCTTATTAGCATTACTCCAGAGGACCCGGTCTCCATTCTTCTTACCATTTAATATATCCGTTCAGATATTGTTAGATAACTAGACCGCTGAACACGACAAGATGACACCCGAGACGGATTTTGCCCCCACCTGGCTCTCTCTCCTTCTCAAGAGTGTTTCCCGGCCGGGAGCTTGGGCAATGATTGCCATTGTCGGATTTGTGTTTGTTCTCGTTCCTTACATGAGTCGGCGTGATTCTCATGCTAGATTTGCCCATACGCAGGGCTGTCAGACGCCGACACGATATGCTCATCGGGACCCTCTGCTGGGGCTGGACGCCTTGCAAGACTCTCTCCAAGCGAGGAGACGAGGCCAGTATTTTCGCCGAGAACAGCGCTTGCACCAAGCCTACGGCAACACGTTCATGTCGCTGCTATTGGGCAGCTGGACGGTGAATACGATCGAACCCCAGAACCTCGAAGCTCTCTTTTCCACCAAGTTCAGCGACTACGAGGTGGATTCCGCCGGCGAAACGCCTTCGCCCCATTGTTGGGTGAGAGCATCTTCCAGAGTGAGGGCGCTCGCTGGGAGGCCTCACGATCTCAGCTTCAGATCTGTTTTTCGAAAGCCCAAACCTCGCAGCTGGAGCTTTTGGAGCGCCATATCCAGAACCTCCTGATAGGTCACTCCGCAGCCAATAGCGGCAAGGCTATCAACCTAGCTCTCTATTTCCATCGCTTTGCGGCCGATGTCTAGACGGAGTTTATCTTCGGTGAATCGATCAATTCAATTTTGGACCCCCAGAACCTCAACGGCGGGGCCTTGAAGGCATTCCAAGAAACGCTGGGCACTTGCGAGCTGCGATGGCTACTAGGATCTCTATCATAGCTTTATTTAGCGTTATGTGGATGCGGCTTTACAACACCGAGATGTCACACCATTATCGCTATCGTGTAAGACACCCGATCAGCACGGCATGCAACGAATCCTATTCATCGACCAACTTCGACACCAACCCCACGGCTCTCAGGGATGAACTGACTACACTGTACTTCGGTGGTACGGACGCCCCAGCCGCGCTGCTTGTCAACTTGTTTTTTGTATTCTCGAAGAGTCCGGACGTGTGGGGTCGTATACGCATCGAAGTCCAGCCCTTGGGAGGGAAACTGCCCAACCTTCAGTAGCTGAAGCGGTTATAATACGTGAATAACTGTATTCGAGAGTGTAAGATGAGACATTTTTGCCATTGGCTGAGTCTTTTCATCCTGTTTCATTTCTGATATCCCTGTAGGCCTTCGTCTTTACCCGCCCCAGCCCTCCAACTCCCGCGTCGCCATCCGAGATACAGTGCTCCCCACCGGTGGCGGACCGGATGGAGCCTCGCCCGTTCTGGTGCCTAGAGGTACAATCACCTGTCAACCTATGCGCTTCACCGTCGGAAAGACCTGTGGGGCGAGGACGCGGATGATTTCCGTCCGGAGCGATGGTCCAATGAGAAACAGTCTTGGGTGAGATCACGTTTCGGCCTATTGCTCTACTATGCATGCTCTTGCTTGACGCTGGATTGACTAATTCGTCTTGCCGTGGCGAGCAGAAATATATCCCTTTTCTCGGCGGTCCTCGTAATTGCGTCGGGAGTATGCCCCCCCCCTCCCCCCCCCCCACCCCCCCATCCCCCTCTTCATCTGCCCTTAGACAGAGCAGACGCTTACTTTTGTTCAGTGGACTTCGCCTTAAATGAGACAAGATACGCTGTGTCACGGATGGCACAAATGTTTAAATCGATTACCAGTGCTGATTCCAATGAGTGGGTAGAGGGATGTGGGCTGGCGCTGGAATCGAAAAACGGGGCTCAAGTCGTCATGAGAGGGGATTTGTAGATGTCTGACATGCATCTAACAACTAACAACTGACGCATGCACTGTATGTACAACACTTGAGCAAGGATCAGGGTCGTTTTCATGAGCTAACGAAACACCCCCACAGGAGGACCAAGAACAGCATAGTTAGCAGCTGGGATAATTAAAACCAATCCCTACGGGATGATATGTAAGGGAATTTTTCACATTTCGGATACCTCGGTAGCCATAGATAGATAACAATCTACATATACTGCCTCCGATCCCGACATATCAATTACCAACCCGTAAGCATAAGCGTCAGCCCCATCCTACCGTCCCGGGCCAACCAAGAGCCCCAGGTCCTGAAGGGCTGAAACCCAAAGGCCCCGAGATGCCAAAAAGTACTTCGTAAGACCCCGCCCGACGCCCGTGAGTGCCCCGAAGCCGCTAATGCCGGCTTATCACCGTGGGCCCTTGTCACGGATCGACAAGCGACCAAGCCACAACGCTGCGGGCCGACTGGCATTACTTTTAGTGCTGACGGCTGAGAGCGAGATGAAGCTGGGGCATGCAGCGAGCTGACTCGGTCAAAAGGAGACCTGCCCTCGAACTCAGGAGAGATTTTAGCCCCCCGAGGGCTAGAAGTCTCGACCGAGGTAAAGTTTAGCGATCTACTCGTACTTGACGCAAGCGCCAGGGTAATGTAACCGGCTCAACTGCCAATCAATCCTTCCGACGGTGGGCAAGGATACTTAGTTCATCTGTGTGATGATCATATGACTCCGAATTTGTATCTGCATGTCTTTCGTACTTTTTTCGTAGGTTGGTGGATTCGGAGAATACCTGCTTAGCTTGTTTGCGGTCATTTCCTTTCCTTTCTTTTCCTTTTTCCTTCCTAACCAAGAGTGTCAGCGGAAGTAACATGTCTTTTTGATGTTGTTTGGGGTCTTTGGTTGAATGTATTTTAATGCTTCTTCTAGCTATAAAAACCATAGTCTGGATAAAATACTGTAAACGGAAATGATTTTGAATTTCCTTAGAAAAGAGAAACGGAAAACATTAGATACGAAATGAGCATAGATCCAAAGCAGTCATACCAGTTCCACACCTCCCTGGTATTCCAGCAATGGGGTCTCCTGAATGGTCTCCTTGTTGGAGAACGAGCAGCAGAGACTCTGCTTCTCGACGGCACGGCTCTAGATATTCCGGAGGTCATTTACGTTGCTCGGTGAGTACTGTCCATACATCCAATCCCGTCTTCTGTCTTCATCTCATTCAATTCTTGGTCTTTCAAATCCGTCAGTGACTTGTTTAACGTACTGACGATATTGCGACATCGAAGATACGCAGGGAACGTAAGCGTCAACCCGACTGCATATGAAGCCATCACGCAAAGCCATGCGGCTTTGACGAAAAGTTTGTCGCAGGGGGATGTTATCTACGGTATGAATGAGGCTTTCTGATACCTCCCGCAAATGAACTGATTTAGAGCAAAAGCTAATAATAAGTTTGAGTCTGGCAGGCGTCAACACAGGTTTCGGAGGATCAGCTGACCTTCGCGCCAACGACGTCTTGGCCCTTCAGCGTGTCTTGACACGGGAGCTAAGCTATGGAATTCTACCCCCCGGGGCGCGCGATCCATGTGTCTCAAATCCTTCCAAGTCCATCAAGGACAGTAAGAAAGCTGGATATAAGGCTTTTGATCTGAGTGTCGAGCATGGAACGCAGTCGCAGCATCTGCCACTTCCCTGGGTCCGGGCTGCCATGTTACTGCGCCTGAATTCGCTAGTCAAGGGCCACTCGGGCGTGCGACCGATCATCGTGGATCGGCTGCGTGAGCTGCTGTCGAAGAACATCGTGCCGCTGGTTCCCCTACGTGGCAGTATCTCTGCCTCCGGGGATCTGAGCCCCATTGCGTACATCAGTGGCGTGCTGCAGGGGAAGCCGACAATTAGGGTCTTTCCGAGCGCTCTTCCCGACAGCAGTAAGAGTGATGTATATGCGGACCAGGCGCTAGCGCAGGCGGGGGTGGAGCCCATCTCGTTAACGGCGAAGGAAGGACTGGCAATTGTCAATGGGACGGCGATGTCAGCGGCGTGCGCGACGCTGGTACTGCATGACATTCACCAACTGGCGATGCTGAGCCAGATTTTGACGGCCATGACGGTTGAAGCGTTGCAGGGGTCTCCCGAGAGCTTCGATGCCTTTTTCTCCGAAGTGAGGCCGCATCCCGGACAGATCGAGAGCGCGCGCAACATCCGCGGGTTCCTGCGTGGCTCGCAGCTGGCGCTATTGAGAGACGGTAAAGACGGATCGCTGCGACAGGATCGCTACTCAATCCGCACGGCGGCGCAGTGGATCGGCCCCGTGTTGGAGGATCTGGTGCTGGCGCATCGCCAGATGAGCATCGAGTGCAACTCAGCCACCGATAACCCGTTAATCAACGACGCCGGGCAGTTCTTGCACGGCGGTAACTTCCAGGCCAAGGCCGTCACAAACGCCATGGAGAAGAGTCGCCAGGCGATCCAAAGCATCGGACGCATGCTTTTCACCCAATGCCAGGAGATGATCAACCCCGTCACTAGCTGGGGCTTGCCGCCAAACCTGGTGGCGGACGAGCCCAACCAGTCCGGGATCTTCAAGGCCATCGACATCTACATATCCGCGCTGACGTCGGAGCTGGGCTTCCTGGCGTCCCCCGTCAATCACGTCTACAACGCCGAGCAAGGAAACCAATCGCTCAACTCCCTTGCCCTCATCTCGGCCCGGTACACAGCGGTGGGCACCAGCGTGCTGGGCGAGCTGGCGGCCGCTCATGTCCTCTCGGCCTGTCAGGCCCTCGACCTGCGCGCCATGCAGCTCCAATTCCTCGCCAACGTGAAGACGGAGTTCTTCACGCGAACGACGAGCTTGGCCAAGAATATCCAGCCCTCAATCCTGGACCCAAATAGTGACCTCCCTCAAACCCTCTGGTCTCATTTCCTTCGACAACTCAACAATACCGTTACCATGAACAGCCCCGACCGATTCCCCTACATCGCCAAATCCATGCGCGTGCCCATCCTAGACTCTTGCTCGGCCTCTCCCTCGTCTGACATCCTCGCTCGAATGGACGAGCTCCTTTCATCTCTCGGCCCGTTCCTTCAAGACGCGTGGTGCATCAATCGCGACGCATACTTGGTACATGGCGACGCCAGCGCCGTCCTAGGGGCCGGATCGCGGAAGATCTACCATTTTGTGCGTCGCGCTCTCGGGGTGCCGTTCTTGTGCACGGAACGCATCTTAACGCCCACGGTAGAGGCTATGGCTAGTGGGCAATTAGATGAGGCGCCCACGGTGGGTGGGTATACGGGGGTTGTGTACCGGGCGATTCAGAGGGGGGAGCTTATTCCTTTAATGAGGGATTTGTTGGCGGAAGAGGAGCTAGTGTATCAGATAGCCCGGGATTTATAAAGATAGATTTGTATTTATTTTTCTCCGTGGATCTAACTCCACTATCTCCTTTTTCTTTGCCGGTTGGATGAGAAAATAGTCGTCCTTGTTGCAGCGTACTATGTACGTACGATTTGAAAACCGCATGAGAGTCCATCACATGCTGCAGAGAGAGATTATTATTTGTCAGGGTTTCGCAATCATAAATCAATAAATCGCACCCCTGCGAGGACTCGGTAAAACTATGGAGTAGTACAACTGTACGCGTAGATCGAGGCTTCTCCGACATCCGAGGCTGTCCAGCTCCCGTCGAGTCTTGGCACGTGCGGAGTTCCTTTTCAGCCTTGTCTTCCTCTTCTTTCTATTTATTCCCTCCATACTTCGCTTTGATTTTCCTTTCATCGGCCCAAATATTAACCTACTATCCAATGACAATCGAAATGACTTTCCCCTTCAAAATCATCGACCACCTCCTCCCCGGCCAACACATTCGGGAATATCCCCACAGCATCCAAGGCCGACAAGAAACGCCCCTCCAGGTAGCCATCAAGCAATATGTACCCACTGCCCAGCCCATCCCAGACAACGCAGTTACTATCATCGGTGTACCGGGAAATGGCAGCCCGAAGGAGACTTACGAGCCCTTATGGGAAGACCTTTACGGGCAGTTAAAGAAGATGGGGGTCTCGATTCGAGGCATTTGGGTGGCTGATCCAACGAATCAGGGGGCCAGTGCGGTATTGAATGAAAATGTAGTAGGAGATCAGAGTATGCTGTCTAGCCCGTTCTTTAATTTTGAAGTTTGACGTTTGGCCATGAGAGGGATGATCAGGATTGAATGAACTGACTGGCTTAATCCAGCGAATTGGTATGATCATTCGCGCGATCTTCTACACATGATCAATCACTTTCGTGACGAGATGCCCCGTCCCTTGATAGGCGTGGCACACAGCATGGGATGTGCTCAGCTGTTCGTTCTACCCACTTACCTCTCTCCAAACACATTCTACACATTGATCATTAACCTAATCATCGCAGTGTCAACCTCTCTATTATTCATCCCCGCCTACTCTCGACTTTGGTCCTTATCGAGCCCGTCATCTTAGAAGTCGCTTTCGGTGGCCCTAACCCTGGTATAGTGGCTAGTCGCCGTCGAGACATCTGGGAATCCCCTGAGAAAGCGAAGGCATCTCTTGATAAGAGCTTGTCAAAGTGGGATTCGCGAGCGCGAGAGCGCTATATTCGCTATGGGCTGCGCCCTGTTCCTACGCGACTCTATGATCCGGTTACAGACCCTAAGGTTCCTAAAACCGCATTGACCCTAACCACGACAAAGCATCAAGAAGCATGGAACTTCTTCACGCCAAATCTCGAATCGGAGGACTTGGATCGCTTTCTTACGCCGGACTGGGACCCTGAGAAAGAACGTCCGTACCTTTTTTCTCGCCCGGAGTGCTGGTCCGCTATGCGAAACCTCCCATTTGTACGACCCTCTGTGCTCTGGGTCTTTGGTGGTAAGAGCTTTCTCTCGTCTCCTGAGGCACAGGACTCGAAGATGCGGAAAACTGGGACAGGTATTGGAGGGAGTGGTGGCGTCGCGCAGGGGATGGTGGAGAAGGCACTACTACCGAATAGTAGTCACACCCTAGTCTTTGAGCAAGTGGATTGGTGTGCTCAGGCTATAGCATATTGGATTCAGCGGTGGTTTCAGAAGTATTTAGAGGGTGAAAAGTTCTGGCGGGAGTATGTGAGTCGGCATTCTGAGCCTGGGATGGTAAAGTTGTCAGAGGAGGCTTTTCAAATCGCGCAAATGCCAGTTGGAACGAAGAGGTCGGAGAAGCCGATGGGAAAGTTGTAAGGTGCAGTATGTATCATTAGGGTGCAGCTAATGTAAGGATGTATGTTGAGCCGTGAGAAAGGAGCTCGCTCGCTTTATTAGGACAGGAGTGAAACGTCATCGGAAGAGGCCAATGTCGGAACTGTCAACGTTATTCTCATAGATTGGCTAGCACTGCATAAGAATCAACATTCAAGGCGCCTTGTATTCCTTCTAGAAAGCCCCAACCTAATGTGACATCCTGAAGCCAGGGAACTTCCCGGTGTGGAGGAACGTTCGGGAGGAACGTTCTGGTTAGTTAGTGTAGGATCTAGGGACCCTCCGGTAGGCATCCAGGAACCTTCCTGGATGCTCTGCAGGCATTCCTGCCTGAGGCGGAGACTCGGGCAGTATATAGAGCCTCTACATCCTCCCTTCTAGATAGCCTTTCTTCCCCATGGGAAAATTCCTTGACTCAGAGTCAGAAACAAACTTGTCTTATACTAAGCTCCTTTGTAGACCGTCACAATAAGGAGGTATGCGAGAAAGTTGTACCCCGACTAGCTCTGCATGAGCTGCGAGATAACACAAGCAATAACAAGCAGGGATAGAACTTTCTCAAGGATTCTTGCACGCGGACAGCGTTACCGACTACTGGCGAGCGGTAGCTGTTCGACCGAGTCCTTGAAACAAGTTGGCTGCGGGATAAATTCCTCGAACTGCGCCGGATCGGCCAGGAAGATCACGTTCTCTAGCGGGAAAGAATCGTGACCCGTTATTAGCAGGATATCGAGAAATTTCTAGAGCGGCTTCTTTTGCTCGTCCATGTAACTGGCGGCTAACCAGGCCGAGCAACTGAGTTGTTCAGCCTTTGCTATAGCAATACCAAATATAGCTGCCATCGGAGTATCTTTATCGAGTATAGACTAGTCAATACGGTTACCAGCTACTACAAAGGCTATTCGATCGATAATACTACAAAGATCATCTATCGCTATCTCCCGAAAGCAGTTATTGAGCTCGTAGTCTATTACCTCTGGTTAGTCCTCCCCTTTAACCAGGCACTCGAGCGGCTCGTCCGGAACTACCGACAATCCGGCTTACCCTATCTCTGGCCTGCAGGGGAGGCAGGGGAGGGTATATGAGCCAGTGAACGACTGCGGAAGGTACTGCAGCAGGAGACCCAGACTTACCTAAAGATAAAGCTGAATATTATGTCCTTTCGGCATGCAGCGATCGCTATTTCACGCGTTCATTTCAAAAGGCAGCAGATTTAAACGGGATTACAGGACCGATAATGATAGCTAGGCTGGCGATGAAATTGGTGGAATGCTTGATCAATTCTATGCAGCGAGGCTGCAGACTAGCTAACTATCTACGATCGCTGTGT